TTGATACCTCTCTGACGGTTGGGAAAAAGGCCGCACCACCGAAGACGAGCTCCTGGAGAGTTTTTCGGCTGATAACGAGTCCCTCGCTAAGCATATCCATAATACTGCAACATACAAGGCACTCTTTGTACACTCGCCTCAGGCCCGCCTGGCAACGGCTAAGCCGCGCCAGGGTCGCCGAGAAGCAGTTGACTGCGCAACTTCCTTTGGTTTCCCTTCTGGTCGAGGACTGAGTATGCCCTCTCTTTCGGGCACCCCTGGTCCAGTCCGTCTCCAGCGTTTCGGCGTGTGGTTGGCGATCCTCTTCAGGACCTGCCACAACCAACCACACGGGGCAGGCCGACGCTGTCACGAACGACACCTCTGTCTCCGACTGTGCGAAAACACCGCGCGTATCTCTTGAATGCAAAGATACACTGTGTCTGGTTGTATTCTGGGACTCCTCCGTACGCACCAGAATTACCAGATGATGTCAAGCCAGGCTCTGAGAACCTGCTGTTTTGGCCTTCAGAGAAGGGAGGAAACAACTCGACGCCCTTCCCGACGCCCCGCCCGACGCCCCTCCCGACGATCCACCCACGACACCTTGGCCACCGGCACACTCGCCAGCACAGACACCCACAGCAACGCAAGCGCCGACGCCCACTCCAGTTTCGGCAACGCCTGGAAGTTCACAGACCTCGGGTGGCAGACTCATTTCGCCAGTGATGGTGGAGACGCCTGCCCTGTCGCAGCACTCTGCAGGACCCGAGTCGAGGAGAGCACCGCTGGCGTCGGCAGGCTCATTCGGAGCGGGAACCCACAGGGAGGCCTCCAGGGCAGGGGAATCGCTGGAGAAGAAGCAGAGCGCCACCACAAGAACACGAATTTCCACGTCTATGTGAATTTCCAACCACCGCACGGCCGCCCTACTTTGGGAAGTGGACTACAGACTACAGCCAGAAGGACGCAGAGCGCAAGAACGCGGACCCAGCTCAGGACAGGAAGGAGGACGAGACGCCCCCTCCCCCGTCATCCCGACCGACGCAACGCACGACGTGTCGCCTCACGCAGCTACGGCTCCCCCCAACCACCGCGACGCCCTCGCCGCTACGCCCGCCGCCCTTCCTCCGCCGTCCCTACGCCGACCCGACGTTTGTGACGCCCTGCCCGATGCCCCTCTCTACGCCCTGCCCGACCCCCACGAAGACCACTCCGGGTCAGCACCGACGACCTCACCCGCCCCCCCCAGCCTCCGCAGACGCCTCCGCCGATGCTAACGCCGATGCCTCCGCCGCCAGCTTCGACCAGCACGACGCCTACACCAGACGCGACCGCCGCGACAACGACGACCTGCACGGGCAACAGCAACAATCGCACCACGACGGACGGCTCCACCACGACTGGGACTCGCACCCGCGACCGACCAGCGACGGACTACACAGAAGCGACGTCGACACGCGCCGCCGCCACAACGACAGATCGACGACAGTCCCGACGACGACCACAACGACAATGCCAACGCCAGCACCAACAGCACGACGACAGTGGATCCCCAGCCTAGCAGCCATGCTAGAGCGACGGCACGAGCTGACGCGCGCTCCCGCGGCGGCAGCTTCACCACGCCCCACCTCCGACGACGGCCCGACGGCACTAGACCTGCGCGACAACCACGGCAGCGACCGCCGAGGGACGACACGCACCACGGCCCCTCCCGACGCCCTTTCCCGACGCCCCTCCCGACGCCCTTCCCTACGCCCAACCCGACGACGCCCAGCCTCAAGCCCATCCCGACACCCTTCCCGACGTCGAAACCGACGCCCACCCCGACGCCCTTCCTGACGCCCTTACTTACGCCTAGCCCCACGCCCAGCCCCACGCACTGCAGGCACCCAACACTCAGCCTTACCGAGCCCACGAGCAGCACCACCACCCACGCCACCAAAACCATTGCCGCCACCAGGACCGTGCGCCAGTCCCAGATTCCGAGTTCACACCAGAGAGGAACCTCTACAACCGGGAGCAGACCCAGCGCCAGCGCCGACGCCAGCTGAACTAGCACCAGCACCGGAGCCGACACCAGCACCAGCACTAGAGCCGACACAGGCGACGCCAGCGCGACACCTCGAGCTAGGTACAAGACGACCCTGGTTTCCGAGCCTTGCCGCACTACTGGCGAAACCACCACACAACGCACCCTCTAGGGTGCAACGCCCCTCCGACCTCTAGCGCCCTCGGTCCTCACCGACTGGCGCCGCCCCTGAGGCAACGCAAGCCGCCGATGGCGGCGCTCGACCACAACCGCCTCACCCCCGCCCCCACCCCTCTTCGGCTACGCACTCACGACGTTGGCGGCGACACCTGTCAGAGGGACCCTTGAGCGTCCCCCCGCCTCCGCCGCTGGCACATGGCCTGCGGTCACCCCTGCCCGCGTCCTCGAGCAGAGACCTGGCCACTCTCCCCCCCTCCCAAAATCCCGACGCCCTCCCCACCTACCTCTACGACCACCACCCACCCTCCTCTACGACCCACACCCTTCCCGACGCTGTATGCCTGAAAACGACATCCGCCACAACAATATAATGGATGGGTATACTGCTGCGTCGACCAGAACGCCAGCGAGCATTTCGCGGCCATGAGGGGCCGGAGGGGCATGGATAAACTTGGGATGTATGGAGGATGATGGGAGAGAGATTAGGGGATGGTTCGGGGAGGACGACCAAATTTTTCATCCCCCCGAGGAACCTGAAAGGGGCCTCAGGGCAGGATGGGTGACTGCAGGATGAACCGTCGTGTGTCATGAGTCAGTCAGTCAGTCAGTCAGTCAGTCGGTCGGTCAGTCAGTCAGTCAGTCAGTCAGTCAGTCAGTCAGTCAGTCAGGAGGAGGAGGAGGAGGAGGAACTCGGGGCGCCCTCCTCAAAACGAGGACCCAACGCCACGGCATGAACACAAATGCTCGGAGCTCTGCGCGGATGTCTTGGATCGACGCTGGGCCCCCCTGGCGCGCCTCCGGCGCCACCCCTGCGCGCCCCCGCGCGCCAAGGTGGGGGGTGTCCGGTGCAGATCCTAAAAATCCGCGCGGAACTCCGACAGATGTTTATGCTTATGTGGTTGCTTCGTTTTCGAAGCTGGACGGACGTGTTGCCCAGCCAAGAGCCAGAGAGCTCGACATGCGTAAATCTACGTGATGCACGGCTTCCTGAACTCTGGCTGGACGGTGGCCACCAGCTGGAGCTCGGCCTCGTTCGAGGGGTCCTGCGGGACCCGCAAAAGCACGAAGTCGCCGCCGTGATTGATATCGAAATGCTCGCCCTGCAGGTTAACTATATGCGGGTCGCCCTTGGCACCCACGGTCGGAGCCGGGGTCGGGTGGGTCGGGTACGGGCCAGTCGGGATGCACGTGGCTATGCAGTTGTCGGGGCCGATTGAACACATCGTTGTCTGGTCGCAGGTCGCCGACTTGCACCCCCACTCCCAAGAAGGGCTGTGCTTACGGCTGAGCTCCGTCCCGTCCAAGTAACGCACGAGACAATGACGACAGTGTGCTTAGTTTAGCTGTTCTGGAGGGGCGACGCGACGTTTATCACATTGCCAGGCCCCACGCTATTAATGACCACCGTCTCGCAGGTCTCGGAGCAGCCCTCGTCTCCGCCGTCTTCGCCGCCCAACTTGAAGCAGATTGTGTTGTCGTCGCCGGGCGACAGGTCCCCGAGTGTGGACACTGGGATACTGAGGGAACCTGCGTCGACATCAGACCCCAAATAGACGTCAGCCTGGGAGACGCAGACGTCGAAGTCGCCGGCGTCGAAATGTCCTGCCTCGCACTCGGAGCACTCGACGAGCGTCGCCGACGCGTCGCGCCCGTGGCGCACTGGATGCCAGCCATCGGATCCCCTCAGAGGTAATACCCCGCTTCGCACACTGGCACGTCTCCTTTTGCCTCCACGGGGCAGACGCCCCTGTTCGTCATGTCGAAGACGAGCGGCCACTCGAATGATCGAATGAGAGGTTGACGCAGCCGTCCCCGTCCAGGTCCCAGGTCGAGCTGTTGCAGTTCGTCCGCGGCGACTGGAGGGCACGCTTACCCTCTGAGAGGCACTGGTCGGAGTCCTGGTCGTAGGCCTCGAAGCAGGCGTCCTTCAGGCACTGGGCAACCCGGGCGACGTCGGCTCCGCCGTCGGGGACACCGTCGGCTCCAGCGTCGGGGGCTGCATGGTCTGCGGCCATTGTCGTTGGGACGGCGCCTGAGCCCGCTCGACGCTATCGGACGCCGAGCTTCTCTGGATGAGGCAGGAGTCCGGCTGGCTAGGAGGCCGGCCGCCGACTGCAGGATGACCAGCAGCAGCATCGTGTGTGCGATCATGGCCTGCGGCATCGAAGTGCTACGACAGGTGGCACGGCTGCCCAACGCCTCCGAGGCCGGTCGCTCGAGCCGCGTGAGTTTGGGGCCAAGACGATCGAGGAGAGGGGGGCGAGGATCAGAAGGAGAGGGACTCCACTGGACACACCGTGCATTGCTATTTCATCCTAGGAGGAAGTGGAGGAGGAGACCGAGTCCTGGCCAGCATGATCTGGAACGCGAGCCTGGCGCCAACTAGAGCTTGAATGTCATACACACACACAACGGAACAATGCGCACACCCGACGGACATGCCAACAAAAAGAAAACAATTAACCGTTGGTCTGAAACGGGTTGTTTCCCAACGAGTGCTCGCGTGCTGATAAAACAACGACTATTATGATGTTTGCTGCGTTGCCTTGAGATTGTTTGCACGCCTTGGTGTGCAACAGAAGCAGCGCGAACGCCCCGAGCGTGCGCCGAATGCGGCACAAAAAGACTGCCTGCAGGCAAAAGAAGGCTGCACATCACGACGCATGATCAGAGCTGCGGCTCCAAAAAACACGAATCGCAGAATTCTGGCTGAACCGCGGCGGCCCTCGCCGACTGCGAGGCCCCTCCAGCGTCCTTCGATCATCCGTTCCAGCATCCATAGCACGGGCGGGATTGGAGCGGAGCAGTCCTCTGGTACGCCTCAGCAAAGATATGTGCCTGACAATGGAAGCCACAGTTGTAGAGGGAAGGCGGCGAGGCATGGAGAGAGGGAAGCACAGCAGATACAGCAAAACAGTTGCGGTGAAGTGCGAAGGGGAGCCAGGCCAGGAAGGTGAGCAGGAGTGAATGAAAAAGCGGAACAATGCAAACTAGGCTGAGCACGAGAACGAAGCTCTTGGCAACGACAGCATGCAGCACGCAAGCAGCTATTGCCCGAGGGTTGTCCATGGGACGACTGAGCGGAAACCCTTTCGAGGTTTTCGCCGGCCCGCCCCCGCAAAAAAATAAGGAGCAACAAAACAAACAACAAAAACTGGCGAAGGTCCCAGCCACGTGCACTGGCGAGTATCGCGGGGCTGGTGATCTGAAGGAAGGGGCCAGACGAAGGTCTGCGGCGCGGACGGGGGGGAGAGTGGGCATGGGCGAGCTGGGGGTCTTCTTGGCTTCGCGCGAGCCCCAGGCGCCGCTGTTTCGTGACAGTTTCCTCGCCCGCAATTCCTTCCCTCTGCTTGTTTCAGGTGCGCGTTGCGTTCCTGCCCGCCCGCCTGGCCCGCGATGGCCCGAGCCCCAGGCGCCGACGTTTTGTGTACATTTCTGTCCTTCATGTTTCTCCACGCTGTGTCCCTCCACTCTGGCGCGGCCCTGGGCAGAGCGCTGCGCTGAGCCCACGCGACGCGCGCTGGTGGGAGCGGGTGACAACGAGCGAGGCGCTGAGAAGCGCGTGGGAGTCGGGCAGCAGCTGGAAGCAAAGCGCATGGGAGTCCCCGCGACGCGCGCCGGTCGCCCCGAGAGGATTCCAATGACGCGCGCGTGTCGTCCGCAGCGCGTGACCAAACAAATGGACAGCCGACAGAAAGCGAGGCTCGAACGGGCCACAATGCAGCCACAAACCGTGTGAGGGGTGTGCCGAGATGGACATGCGGTGGCCCGGGAGCCGCATGTGGACCCTGCCACTGGGGCCTTCGGTGGAGCTCCCTCTGGTGTCACGAAACGCGTGAGGGGTGAGCCGACATGGACATGCGGTGGCCAGGGAGCCGCATGTGGACCCTGCAACCAGGGCCTTCGGTGGAGCTCCCTCTGGAGCCACGAAACGTGTGGGTGGTGTGCCGAGATGGACATGCGGTGGCCGGGGAGCCACATGTGGACCCTGCCACTGGGGCCTTCGGTGGAGCTCCCTTTGGAGTCACGAAACGCGTGAGGGGTGTGCCGACATGGACATGCGGTGGGCGGGGAGCCGCATGTGGACCCTGCCATTTAGGGCCTTCGATGGAGCTCCCCAGGGGGATACGAAACGTGTGAGTGTGCCGAGATGGACATGCGGTGGCCCGGGAAACCGCATGTGGACCCTGCCATTTAGGGCCTTCGATGGAGCTCCCCAAGGGGCCACGAAACGTGTGAGGGGTATGCCGACATGGACATGCGATGGCCGGGGAGCCGCATGTGGACCCTGTCGCTGGGGCCTTCGGTGGAGCAGCTCCCTGTGGGGCTACGAAACGTGTGAGGAGTGTGCCGACATGGACATGCGGTGGCCGGGGAGTCGCATGTGGACCCTTTTTTTTCGTGTCCCCGGCAGTCTGGCGCGAGCTATCGTGTCCCCGGCGGACTGGTGCGAGCTATCGCGTTTCTAGCAGCCTGGTGCAAAAGGCCGTATGTGGGCCCTACAATTTGGGGCCTTCGATGGAGCTCCCTAAGGGGCCACGAAACGTGTGAGGGGTGTGCCGAAATGGACATGCGGTGGGCGGGAAGCCGCATGTGATCCCTTTCACTGGGGCCTTCGGTGGAGTTCCCTTTGGAGCCACAGCCCGTTTGAAGGGTGTGCCGACATGAACATGCTGTGGCTGGGGAGCCGCATGTGGGCGCTGCCATTGGGGCCTTCGGTGGAGCTTCCTATGGGGCCACGAAACGTGTGACGGACGCGCCGAAATTGACAAGCGGTGGGCTGGGAGCCGCATGTGGACCATGTCACTAGGGACTTTTGATGGAGCTCCATTTGGAGCCACGAAACGTGAGAGGGGTGTGCCGGCATGGGCAGCGATGATAATAACGATGATGATAATGATGTTGATGATGATGATGATGATGATGATGATGGTGATGATTATGATGATAATGATAATACTGCTGATGGTGACGACGACGATGATCAGAATATGAATAAGAACCAAATAATCATTGTAATACGAGTAATACGAATCTCAATGACACAATGAATAAGACCAGTACTACTAAGAGCCATTAGTAGTATAACACGAGGTTTGAGTATCACTATGATTGTGGTTATGATTACGATTATGAGTACGATTATGGTTTGGATTATGAGTATGGTTAATATTCTGTTTATGATGATGACGATGACGGTAAAGATGATGGAGATCATGGTGGTGACGATCATGGTGATTGATGATAATAGGAGGGAGGGGGGAGGAGTGCGGAGGAACGCGGGGCGCTGTCTCCTCAAAACGAGGACCCAACTCAACACAAGATGGCTGGATACAAATATGCGCAGATGCTGCCTTTGCGACGAAGGGCGTCACATGCAACGAACCATATACCAACCAAGGAAACTCAGGCAGCGTTCTGTATCAGAAGACCTGCTATCTCGAGAGGGACGGTTCTCTGCACAGAGTCATTCGCCACTATGCCAACTGAGACTATACCGACTGAGTCGCAGATACCCATCGACTAGCAAGAAGGCTGGTCGCCCCATCTGTGCGAAGATCCAGAGCTGCACGGGCACGCCCACGCCAAAGGCTGGGAGACGTGCCGCTCCTGCCCCTTCAAATAGGATGATATCGGGTTAATTGAAGACCTCTCGCTGCCCCAGGAATCTCCAAAAAACTCAAACCGAATCTTGCCGAGAGAGAAAATCTCAAACCAGATCTCAAACCAGATCTTGCCGCGAGAGAATCTCCAAACGGATCTCCGATGAAATCTTCCGAGACACTTTGGGGCCCAAGCAAAAACTCAAACGAAATCTTGCCACCGCTATATCCCGAACGACATCTCAAACGACATCATGCCGCTGCCACACCCCAAACAACATCTTAAACGAAATCTCGCTTCTTGCCGATCCCAAACAAGATCTCAAACGAATTCTTGGGCGACCAGAAACTCAAACGCAATCTCCCCCATAACCTGCCGGCCAAGCTTCGTGCCGCGCGCGGCGCGGTGGTAAAGCACAACTTCATGGTAGTCGAATACTTTGTCATCGGGGCAATGCTGATCGGAGCTGCGCGCGCCTTTGGAAGAAGCGCGCATTGCGGCGCGGACGGGCATTCCCCGCCCCTCGATCGAGCGACTGCCTCGACCACGATGCTGGGCAGCGAACCTGGAGATCGGCGCCGCACCGCCCACCGACGGCCCCAGTTCACCAGGCGCACTGGCGCTCTTAGCGGCCACCGCGGGCACGGGCCTGCAGGCCACTACGTTGCGGGGCTCGCAACCACCATTCCATGGGCGAGCCGAATAAGGGCACCACTTCCGGCGCGCGCGCGCGCGAGAATCGCCCGCGCCCGCGCATGACCCAATGGATTGGGTTCGGCGGCGCATTCCGGGCGGAGGCGTCTCGGGGCGGGGGCGAACAGCCCAATGTTCATAAGCATACGCGTTACTTTTGGAACCAACTCTTGGAGGTAACAGCCCTGGCGGACGTTAACAGAGTTGCCCCCCCCCCCTGGCTCTGGAGCGGCCCGGTGACGTTTTTGTTTCGGGGTGGTTGCAGTTGGGGCTGCACGCGCGGTAACTTGCCATGGGCCCCTTCTTCGCCCTCCTGCTTAGCTTCTTCCTCTCCTCATACTGCTTACTCCACTCCTCCGCGACCTCTGGCTTCTCCTCGGTTACCTCCGCGGGCACCTCAACGCTGAAAGCCCCCGGTAAAGACTGCCCGAGCCCCTGAAGTTGTTCTCCTGCTGCTGCCCCAGCGGCCCCTGCTGCCCCCCCTGGGCCGGCGGCGACCTCATTGGCCCCTTCCGAGGCAGTCGAGGGCGACGCGCCCCTTCCCGCCGCACTCAAAGCATGATCACTCGCTGTTGGGCACAAACCCTTGGCCTCATCTACCTCCTCTTTTAGCTCCTCCGTTACCTCCTCCTGTATACCATCCCTGGTAACCTCCTTTGCCGCCATTGCCTCCTCCTGCATTTCCCCGGTAACTTTTCTGACCTCCGTATCCTCCTTTGCCGCCCTGGCCGCCTCGGTAACCTCTGTAATTGCTTTTGTAATTGCACTGGTAACCTCCGCATTGGAATCCTTCACTGGTCTTTCCTCCTCCCTCGCCCCCTCCCCAACTCTCACCTTCGGCAACTCTTCTGCGGGGGCCACCATGAGGCCGCGCCGCCCATGGCGGGCTGCGACCTGCTAAACTGCAGCCACGTTCGCGTGCTCGGGGGGTCGAACGGAGGGCGCCCACAGGGCGCCATCATGACACACCGCCGCCCCTGGCGGGCAGCGGCTTGGAAACAATCGCCAATGCCGCGGGCCCCTGGGATGCCCAACGGGGGGCGCCCCACGCGCGCCAGCGTAGACCTCGCCGCCCCCGGGGGCCGCCATCTGCAGCAACGCCGCCACTCACGCGGGCCCCGGAAAAAACACCAACGAGATGGCCCCCCTCGGCGACCACCATGAGACGGCGCCGCCCCCCGGGGGGGCAAAAGAGACGGGGGCGCGGACGGGCGCGCGGCCGCGGGGCCCACGGGCGGGCGGTGGCGCAAGCACCCCGGGCGCCGCGCCTGGGCGCCCCAGCAACCCCAATAAGCAAGAGAGGCACTAGCGGCGCTTTCGGCCTGTAGAACCCCATGGAAGCGCGAGCTGGTCAGCGGCGCCCGCCTCTCGGGCAGCGCGTCTAAATCGAAGCATTCGAGGCCGCGCCCGCCCTTCCCGCCCGCAGCCCGCGGCGCGACGGCCGCGCCGGGCCGCGGAAATTGCGGGCGGGGCCGCGGCGGCAGGGAGCTCCGCGGGCGCGCGCCGAGGGCGGCCGCCTCGACATCGGCGCTTCAGCGCGC